AATTCCATATTGTTATACCCTTAAAAGGCCAAACTTCAGCCACTGCTGGAGCATAATTACCTAGATACAAGCCACAAGCAGGACATCAGCCATCAATTACAATTCCCTTTTGCTCCAAGGGCAGTTTTGTAAGAACAATGTTTCAAAATAATTAAAAATATTTAAATTGTTCCACACATTTTAAATTTTTTTAATTTTATTAGGTTTAAGAAATTGACAATAATGATAAACTGAAAGTAAAAAAAAAAAAAAAAAATGTATTTTACATCATAACATTTTTAATGCATAAAATTCCCTATTTATTACTAACTAAAACAAAATCTTGAATGGCTTTAGTAATATTTCAAATAATACTCATGATTAAAACTAATATCTTAAACATGCATAGTAATACTACTTTTGTGACTAATAACACGTTTTTACTATGAATCATGCAATCCTTATTATTTTAGCTCTTTTGTATCAAGAAATAATAAGATTTTATAAAAATCATATAATAGTACATCAAATGAAGTTTAATTTAAGATATTGGAGATAACCAAATTTTGGTGGACTAATTATTACTTGAGATACTGGAGATATTGTTGCATGAGCTATTATGTTACGGTTCTTCATAGGAAACAATTTATTTGTTCGTTTTATTTATATTATATTTATTTTTTTCCTTTGTTTTACAGAAATTGCTTCAATTGGACCCAAGCAAAAGAATTATAGCTTCTGAAGCACTTGAGAACAATTAGTTGGAAGGTGTTTGAATCTTTGCTTTGATATGGAAAATTCTAAAAAATTGTGGACACATGTTATTGCAAATAGATATGGATGTTATCAGCAGAAGAAAATTCTGAAACTAGTGTTTTCAATGGGAGGAGGAAATTTGTAATGGTGCATTTATAGGAATGTGACCTTTTCAAAGTATTGATATTATAAATAATATAAGAAATAATAATCAATTAACCAAATAAATCGAGAAAAACAAAAATTATAGTTATATTATTTGTTCTCCTTTAATAATTTAATTAATGAAATTAATTTGTGATTAAATGAAAAAAATAAGTTTAGTTCAATAAGTACCATTTTTAAATTCCTTTCAAAAAAAAAAAAAAAGTGCCATTTTTAAATAATACAAAAAATGATAGCCGTTCAATTTAAAGCAATAATTTGAATAATATACAAGAACTCATTCTAATAATAATTACTTCCTCTGTCATACTGCTCTGCCCTCAACCTACCTAGCAATTTCAATTTTCCTCTGTTAATTTTTCCCTTTACATTGTTATTCTTTTGTAGATTTTGCAATTGGCAATAACATGTCATGTTGTAAAGCATTAGTGCAATTTCTTTTGTTCCCATCTTCTTTCTTTAATTTCTTATCTGGATAGTCATTGTTTTCTTTCTGTATTTGTAACTTTTTACTTCTTCTTCTTCTTCTTCTTGCATGTCTGTTGCATTTAGAAGTTTTGGTGAGTTGGTTATTGGTCCACTAGATCTTTAGTGCACTGGCACCGTCCTGATGATGACACCACCTTTGGCTAATTGAATCAAAGAATGGTGTTATTAAATTGCTTTAATTTATTCTAGGACTGGTAGATAGCAATTGAGGCAGTTATTCTTACACAGTTATATTAAAGAATATAAATTCTTTTTGCTTACGAAATACAATCAGTTCTTTCATGTCTTTTAGAAAATAGACTAAGATATCCTTGTAGTTTACTTCCGTCAGACTATAAGGTATTTCCGTCTAATTTTTGTATTTTTCCGCTAAGTACTTTATGAAATGACAAAAAATGCCTCTTTTATTTTTAAAAAACACAGGGATAAACTAGTTATATCTTTCAAGCCATTAGGATCATACTGTAATTTTTTTAGTATAATATTTAGCATCTCTCTTTTGACCTTTGTGTTTTCTTATCAATTTAATGAAAATGATGCAAAAATTGGATAGAAAGACTCAATAGTATAGAGATAAAAAAATAAATTGATATGTTTAAAAAAGACAATAATAAACTAGTTGTATTTCGCAAGTTACAGTAATCGTAACGTAATTTTTCCTTATATTAATTGATAAGATTGTTTTTTTCTTCCATAAATTGAAAAATGAATCTTCCAGGAACCTGGCAAATATAAACTGAAAACTATGGGGATGTATTTGTAATTTGTGTTTGTTGGATGAAATGAAGTATTTGATAGATGTGCCTTATGGTTGAAGTGTACAAATAAACAATAATTAACCTAGCCTCAATAATAGGTAAAACGTTGACATCATTGGAGTTGGACAGTCTAGAAGTTGAATGATAAGGGATTTGTTGGTAGACATTTTCTGCATAATGTTTGTGGCAATGAAGCATGCCTATTTTATATTGTTAATGACAAGGAACATAAACTAAAAATAATCTAATATAAATTATATCAGTTCAACGTATATCTTTTTGACTAAGGGTCTGTTCGGTAAAATTAACTGTTTAGGTGTCTGATTAGCTGTTTTTGATAATTGTTAACTGTTTTAATAATGTTTAGCTGGTAAATTTTGGTAGCTGTTAACTGTTTAAGTAGTTTTTCATAAAATGTCAATAGCTAAACATTATATCAATTAACTTTCTTAATACGCTACCTTAACCTCTAAAAGTTAGTTCAAATATTAGATTACCAAACACTATAAAAGATATCGTTTAGTATTTTGACTTGTCAAAAAACGCTAAAAATTATTTAAAAAGCTGCCAAACACAACTTAAATGTGGACATTCGGTTAATCGAGTCGAACCAAACTGAATAATTTCAATCTTGATCTAACCTGGTGCATTTTTAGGTTCGGTTTGAATCAAATAAGCTATATTGGGATAAAAATAAAATCGATTAGTTATATAATTAATCAAATCATAAACTAAAAATTAAATAGTTTTTCTCAATAAAATTTTAATATATCTAACCAAATCGGATCAAAATATATCGATTTAATTTGATTTTCGGTTAAAAACCGAAACTCACGCCAAAACTAGACTTTTCCTAATTTCCGTTACTTACCAATGTCAATGTGCTTTATATCCGGGGAGAAATGATTGATTCATGTTTAACGATGATCAGTTTTATTTTTTCAAAAACCCATTACCACGTGCTCCGGTGATTGAGTTGTATTCTTTGCCTTTTGAGTTTTCTTCTCTCAACTTTGTCTGTAACCGGTTGTAAAGTCAAGTGGTGGACATGTTGAAATGCTGTCATTGAGGGGCTCCTATATCCCATATTATTACCTTCTTTGTTGGAACAAATTTTCTGTCTTTTAACTCAATAATAAATATATAATATTTGTAATGAGTTTTAAAAAGTTCAAATTTAAATTTTCGAACAAATTCTATAAAATATTATATTAATTTATGACTCATCAAAGGGACAAATACTAGAAACCAAAATATATTACTCATTCAATTTAAAAAATAATCAAAAAAAGAAAATTGTATTTGTGTAAAAAATTAATTGTTGGCAAAATTGCATTTTACTACCAAAATCAAAAGGCAAATTAAGTTTTATACCTTGTTTTAAAGTTGATTTTCTTATCCTTTTAACATTTTACAAAAAGTAGACCATGTAACGTTTAGCTTTTAACCTTTCGTGAAAATATTATATTGCAACAGTTAATAGCTAAACGCTATTAAAATAGCTAACAGCTAATTTTGCTGAACAGTCCTTTTGGTTTATTTGTTATATGAATTATGGTTATTGTTTGATGACATCAGAAATCAAACTTAACTAATTTTGTGTGTGCCTTAACGAGTTTTTTCTTTTCTTCAGGAGATTAATGATTTCTTTTTGTCAATTATTATAAAACTTTGTGATTAAATTGCAAAAATAGGTTATTTATGGACTTTTAATTAATTGAGTTTATATTGGAAGGCAAATTGAGTTTTCTTCCTAATAAATACGGTTACATTCAAAAGTTAATGGAAATAAAATTATTATCACGTGGCACAATTTAAGTGGATGGTTACGTAGTTGTAGCAAACACACATTCTTTTTCTAGAAAAAAAAATTAAAAACAAAAAAGAAAGAGGAAAAGTTAAGCTCGTTTGTTGCGCACGCGTAGCGTAATTACATGAGCACCTAATAACTAACGTTCTCCGTTAACAAACGGCAGTTTGGATGAAAAGAATCAACCTCCACCGGCTTCCTCGCACAAATTAAGGTCAAACGAGACGTTAAGGGAAACTATCAATGAATAATGTTCTATGTTTTCTTTAAACTATTAACAATACAATTCATTTAAATTAAAATTTTAAATCGATTTTATCAGGAATTTTTATAAAAAATAATTTGATTTATTTTTAATTAAATTTATATTTACTTTCACTCGATAACTTGGTCGATATAATTATTTCAGTTAAAAATGATCCAATTAATCTTCTAATTGAAAATTATTGTTAAAGTTAATATGAAAATTAAAATTTTTAAAGCAATTATATCACATACTTTTAAATGTTAACATAGTTGACTTTCAATTGGTCAACGTGTTTATTTAAGTATATTATTCATTTTCATTCAATAAAAATAAAACTGTTTTAGTAAAAATAACTAAATTATTCTTTTAACTGAATCTTTTATTAAAATGGATATAAAAACTTTAAGAAGGAAATTCATAATTACTCTAACTAAAGATTAATTGCAGCATTATCATGTTCAAATCATTTAAACTTTTGATACTTATAGGTATTCAAAATCTATTTAAATTTCATTTTAAAACTCATATCTAAATTTATTTAAAATTTTAATATCTGCATCTTTCTTGAACCTATTTAATTAATACCTAAATTTGTTTTAAATGCAAATTAATTATTATAAAGGAGAAATATGAACAAAAAATAATTTTGGAATTCTAGTCATTTAAAAATTTTTAATATTTTTTTGGTAATTAATTTATTTGACATTTAATTAATACTTGCACTTATTTTAAATGGATTGGATATAATGGCAAATCCACCCGCTTCCGTCTCTAGTTACAACTATTAACTAACGACCTGAAGCGCCAAACAAGAACAGCAGCGTTACGGTAAGAAGAAACTGACGGAAGCAGAGAAAGCGGGTATTTCACAACACATCGTCTCTAAAGAAAACGCAATTGAAAACGACATGCTTTTCCTTCTCGTTACCTGAAAGCAACCGCTGCAGCTGCGTCCCTCTGCTCCCGTATCTGTTTAGTAGCAGCAAATATTCTATTCCATTCTAGAGAGAGAAACAAAAGCAAACAGTTTTTTATTTTATATAAACACAACCTTTTAGAGAGAGAAAAAGCAGCAGAAAGTATCAAAATACCAACGTAAGTTGAAAGCAATTTCATTTTATATATACAAATAGAGAGACGGACTTGCATTTCCTCTGTATATTTGCATATAATCACAGTTTCAGAATCCTAAATCGCTTGAATGCGATTTCTGTAAAAAAAAAAAAAAGGTATAGAGTTGTTAATAACGCCATTGATGAATGCTGTTTCTTATTTAATTTCTTTTTGTTTTGTTTGTAAATTGTGATTGTGATTTCTGGATCTTGATTTTGTTATGCCAATTCATGTCTTATATTTTATCGATTTTTTATTTTTTATATGGATTTGAATTTTCTTTTGTCTGTAACAATTGTTGTTTTAATGGGGAATCTGTTAGATCAGAGAAATCTATTTAGACATTTTTGGCTTTATTACTGTTTTATAAATTTCTGAGGTTTTTTCTTTGTTTGATGCAGATTTAAACTGAATTATAGATATATTGGACGTTGAAGGAGAATGACAGGGGAGGCGATTTCGGTTCAGGAGAATGAGAGGGCTAAAGGTGTGGATCTGGAGACTTCTGAGGACGAGAAACGAAGAACCAAGGTTAGATCTCTGAAGAAAAAGGCAATGAGTGCATCAAACAGACTCACGCATAGTCTTAGGAAGCGCAGCAAGCGCGTGGCGGATTGTCGATATGCGGCGATATCGATCAATGATGTTCGGGACGCAAAGGAGGAAGCCGCTGTGAATGCGTTTCGCCAGACATTGATAGCAAAAGACCTCCTTCCTTCTCGCCATGACGATTATCATACCCTATTAAGGTAATGTAGTCTCTTATTTGATGAACTTTACTCAGCACTAAGTGTGAAATTCAATGCTTAACTTTTTGTAATTGATTGTATGTTAGACGAATGATTCTACTGGTGTTTGAATGTCAAAATTCTTCTGACTTCTCTAGTGACTAATTCAGAACTGGAGAACTGTAGTTTGCATTATTAAACGGACCTTGCTTATTTAATGGATTTTGGTATTGGTGCAGGACTTGGAAAACATTACAATAGTAATTGAATATAATTGAAATTGCTAACAATCAAGTAATGCTGGGGATTACTTTCTGGGCCTTTTTTTTTCAAGACAGAGCGGATATTTGGAAACAAGTTTGGGATTAACTTGTTGCTGTTGTTGTATTGTGGAGATCTGGAACATAGATTTGGGCCTATTACTGAGTGGAATATAATTAGCAACATGATGGGTTTCAATGCTGCCTGACTTTTAGCTTATGTAGTAACATAATTCCAAGAAAAAGCTCTTGCAGTTGTAGTGCTACCATTATTCTAGAGGTTATTTTTGTCTCAAGCAATTTAAGAACTGTGGGATGAAGTTCTGTTATAACTATCTCTTTGTACATTTTGCTCTTTAGAAAATATGTAATTTACTTGTTCACAGGGCTGAATTTCTGTTATTGCAGGTTTCTAAAGGCTCGAAAGTTTGACCTTGATAGAACTCTCTTAATGTGGTCAGAAATGCTCAACTGGAGGAAAGAGAATGGAGTAGATTCTATCATACAGGTAAAAGTATAATTGTAGCATTGCTTCTTCATTTTGAAAAGTGCAAATTGGTTGTAGAAATAGTTACATGACGAGACAATTATCTGATGCATGAAAGCAAGCCTTAACTCTGGCATTACACAAATAATGCTCCCTTTCTTGGTTGACTATTAAGTAGTTGCTACTGGAAGTTTTATACTACCCAGAAATTGTTTTTTGAGTTGGGCGGGACATGGAGTTGAAATAAAATCACTTGATTGTTGTCATAAAAAATATAAAGATCAATAAAAAATTAGTTTATTTGGCATTTGTTTTTACAAGATGAAATTAGTTTATTTGGCATTTGTTTTTACAAGATGAGGAATTGGTACTAGTGAAATTATAAGATACGAGGAATTGGTACTGGGGAAATTATAACCCAAAATTCACTCCTAAACAATCTCATTACTTTCAGTTAACTGGGAAATGACTAGATAGTGTGGAAAAGAATTGATATACTATAGAAGTGAAAAAAGTGCAAAAAGTAGATAGGTTGCACTAAATTTGGTTTTAATAAATATATTGCTCTCTGTTTAATCTAATCAGGTCCAATATTTGGTTTTAATTTCTTTTTTGTAGAGTTAAGATGGTTTTACCTTATAATTATTGATCCATCTTATTATATGACTTGGCGAATTTTTATGCTAAATTATTAGGTTATACTGCAGAGAATCATTAGTTGTAAACTTTGTATAAGTTGCCTTTTGCTCTCCAAATAAAATTTCCTGGCTCTTCCCTTGATAATATCCTACCATTTATATTTATTTACTAGTTGTTTATTTTCATTCTACAACTTTCTATCTCATAGTGTGACATGCTGTTGCTTGCTTAGGATTTTGTATATGATGAATATGAGGAAGTTCAACGATATTATCCTCATGCTTACCATGGTGTTGACAAAGAGGGTCGACCTGTTTACATTGAAAGACTTGGCAAAATTGAACCTAGCAAGCTAATGAGTGCCACCACAGTGGATCGGTTTCTAAAATATCATGTTCAGGGATTCGAGAAGACTTTTTCTGAGAAATTCCCTGCATGTTCTATTTCAGCCAAGAGGCACGTAGATTCTACAGTAACAATATTGGATGTGCATGGCCTGGTAACTGCAGAACCTCCTACTTTTATTTATTGCAATTCCACACTTGAAACGCATTTTTAATATGCTGATGTTACTTGATATTTCACTGGTTGTGCAGAATTGGGTGAGTTTCGGAAAAGTTGCACATGATCTAGTTATGCGCTTACAGAAAATCGATGGTGACAACTACCCTGAGGTGGTTTGATGTTGAAATGAAACTAAATTAAAGGTTGCCTGAGTTACTGGTCTATTCATTTGATGATCACTTCTGGTATTTGCTCTTTTTGTAACAGACATTACATCAGATGTTCATTGTTAATGCTGGCAGTGGATTCAAATTTCTATGGAACACAGCAAAAAGCTTTCTTGACCCAAGGACTACTGCTAAGATAAATGTATGGGCTCTTGTTATTTGTTTTCTTTTGCTACCCAAAATTATCTGAACTAATACTAACTCATTATTATTTGATTCCCTAGGTTTTAGGCAATAAATTTCAAAATAAGTTGTTGGAAATTATAGACTCAAGGTTAGAATTTATCTTTTTCCATTTTTTTTTCGAATATATTTGATATATAGCTGAAAGTTTTTCTAACCCGTGCTGCATATTGTTTTGGCATTTTCTTGCAAAACAGCCAATTGCCAGATTTTCTTGGTGGATCTTGTTCATGCCCAAATGAAGGTGGTTGTCTTAGATCTGACAAGGGACCTTGGAATGATCCAGAAATAATGAAAGTATGATCCTTGTGGGTTTCGAGCAAAATTTGAGCCTGTTCAGTGGGCAGCAGTGATCATTAAATATTGATGTTTGAAAATTGCACACTTCAATAATTGCTTGATTGTATCATATGTTGTTGAGATATCTGTAAACTCAAGTCACCTTGTTTTGCTTGCAGCTGGTACATGCTGGAGAAGCAATGTACTTAACAAAAATGAAGAGTTTTTCTGATGATGATGATTTTGAAATCAAGTTGTTCGCCTCTAAGGTGAGTTGTAGAACAATTATTCAATTCATCATAATTTATGAGCTTCATATATACGGTTATACAAGGCTTATTCACGCAGGTTTCCAGAAGCGAAATATCTTCTGCTGATTCAGGATTGGATATAAAGCCAAATACCTCAGGCTTCATTCAAGAAATGCCACTTTCTGAGGAAGTAAGATTCTACAGTTTGTTTTTTGGGTTTCTGGATTTTGTTTGAATGCTAGTTGTGATTGATTAATTTTTTTATTAATACCATTTATTTTTTATATGTTGAACTGGGTAGGTCACTAGTAAACTTGGCTAGTTTCATGTTTGAAATAGTATTGAATTTCATACATAGAATAGTCAATTTTATTTTGTTGCAATTAAATCTGAAATACACCTTTTCTAAATAAAATTTGTAATTGGTGGAGTTCAACTAAAATTTTGTCAATCTAATCTGCTTTCTTTCCTGTGCAATCATGAGATAAAGAGAGAGAGAGAGAGAGAGAGAGCCTCTTTTGGTTTTGAAGATGGAGCCTATCAATCTGTAAAATCCAATCCCTTTGCAATCCAAGCAGGAAAGCATAAGAATTTTGTGAAAGAAGTTCAAAAAAATCACCCTTCTCATTTTAATTCGAACAGTTATTAGAGTTGTTTGCTAGCAGAGACCATGACTAACAAAATCAAGAGATAGCATACATTGAATGGGAATTCAAGTTAACCTCTGTTTTAAACACCAATAATCTAGTCAGGGATGATGATCTGTGGTTATGTTCAACAATCATACTAATCAATGAAACAATGTTTTTGACATTTTCCTCCCTTGGGCAAAAGTTTTGTTTCTCTTATTCATCTTAGAATTGATATTAATTTGATCAGAGCAGATATTTGATACAAAGGATTCATATAGTCAGCCCCAACTAGTTTGGAACTAAGGCTTGGTTGTTGTTATTATTGTTGTCAAGTGAGTACTGGTGTTAAGGAAAGGTGAAAAGCAGTCATAGACAGTACTTTGTAAAACCTATTTGTGTAAATTCTTCGTTTTGAAGTAATTTGGCAATTTATATCAAAGGATTTTTTTGCTTCCTCTCAGACTTGTGCAATAATTGCAAATTTGGAGGAATGTTAAAATTAGAAACTAAAATTTTTACGTTTGTTGGAGAATGCATAAGTAGGCGAGGATGCCATTTATGTGTCTATTGCTATTCCATTTTTTATTCATTTGGATTGAGTGGGAATTATTCTGCTTTCAGTGTAAATTTGTCTGAAAATATGGTTTGACTTACAGTTAAATGATATGACCTACAAATTTGTAAATTTGTCTCAACTATATTCATTTTTCAGTTCTCTTCTGAGCTGTCATTTTATTGTATAACTGTTACACTTCTCTATGCTCCAAATTATTCTAGGGAAGAACGGCTGATCATGCTTCTGTCTGCAGTCTGGTTGAACACATCCCAGCAAGGATTGAAGATTCTAGTTTGACAAGTAGGTGATTTGGTGATTTTCTTCTTTTACCTTTTTCCTTTGATACTTTTTCTGTGTATTGTTGGTAGTCCAGCCAAATAACTAGTTTACCAGCTATAGTTTGGCATAGTCATGTGCAGGGAAAGCTGTGCCCTGTCATCCAGAGTTAGGTGGATATATAAGCCTTTAGCCTATTCTTTGCTTGATTGTGCGTGACGAAGCTTATCTAATATTTCTGGTGGTATTGCCATTTGAATTTTCTCTTTACTTAATATTTGGGAGTAGACAACAGCGAAGTTCATTTGTGCATTTTGACTTGTATCTAATTGTACATGGTGCTGTTTGTGAGAAAAAACTTTTAATGGTTTCAGCAGCTAGAATAGGGCCAGCAATAACCTAATAGTTAGATGGCACTGTACCTTAATCATTTTGGCAGCCTTAAAGGTGCTTAAAATTTAAAACTATGTGTCTGTCAAATGGCATGGAACAGCAAGGCGTCATTCAAAATTTTTTTTGCACATTTAGAAACTAATAGGAGAACCTGACTTGGTAGTATAAGGACTGTTGAGTGTACGTAATTTCAGGTAGTCTAAGTTCTAACAGTTGCTGATTATACTTGGATAGATTTGTTGAAGTTGATTTCCTATTATTGCATAGTCATCATAATTAAGGTGTAATGATTTCATTTATCCTCATTTTCTCCTCTCACTGTGAAAAAGCTAACCATTTGGTGTTATCTATGAGTATTCCTTCTGCAAGCATGCATTAGACATTCATGATCTGATATTTCTGACAGATAATTCTACCAATGACGTCAGCACAAGAATGGTGCAAAATAGATTCATTCCCCATGTAACAAGTTATGTAGTTTACTTCATGTTCAAATTGCTAGCATGGATATATCTTCTACTTCCAAGGATGGGGAGAGTGTTTACATCTAGACGCACAGAGAGACCATTACCAAGCCAACCCAACCTACCACTTGCAGATTCAACTTCTCAAGAGCAACACATTCCACGGGAAACGAAAGAGGAAATAGTTCATCCATGCTTTCAGAGGCTGCAAAATTTAGAAGCAATGGTAAATGAGCTGGTTAATAAACCGACCAAAATTCCTCCTGAGAAAGAGGATATGCTTCTTGAATCATTGAGTCGGATTAGATCTATAGAATACGATCTACAGAAGACAAAGAAAGTAAGACATCATTTATTTTTCCCCTAAACATGGACAATACAGAAGTGTATATCACTAAAAATATAATAGTTTTTGGCCTAAATTCTTTATTGTTGGTTGTTAAAACTAAGCTTTTATTTTGCAGGCACTGCTAGCAACAGCATCAAAACAGGTGGAATTGGCTGAGTCACTGGAAAATCTTAAAGAAAGTGCTTTAGCTGTAAGTTCCTAAAATTCATTAGATGTAGCTTTTCACTAACATAACCTAGATTTGGCCTTCTGCTCTAGTATATCAGTCTAATTGCTCCATACATCTAACTGCCATCAGTCTGTTGTAAGCTGGGGATACATAATCCAGAAGATGAATAAAATGAAGTGTTGGAATTACAAATGTTTGTAGTTGCAGGGTGGAATTTATCTGTTGGGTCTTCCGCAGCTGAGTATAGGAAAATTTGGGAAACATAAGGATTTGCTATAGCAATATAAGCCTTCACATAATTGTACAAATCTTATGTGCATTCACTTCATAATTTTGGCTCAAAAATCCCCAAAGATGAAACAAGAATGAAAATCGTATGCTACAAAATGCTGCTGTTAGATTTTTTTTTCACTGGCCACTGGTCTAAGGCGAGAGGGCAGTTTCATTAAAACCACAATCTCCACATTTTGCTTAGTTTAACAGTGGCAAGATTTAACGCTTGTGAGTTTTGCCTGTAAAAGATTATTTTATCTTCCCATTTTTGTAATACCGAACTTATTTTATACCAGAATGGTTGTTTACCATGTTACACAAAAGTCCTTGCTGACTGTTCCAAGACTTTGCCAATTTCAGGGAGTAAACTCTTGTTGGCCAAGATACTGCAAACCTTTTCCCCCAGAAAGATGAGATGCAATTTTTTTTAAAGCAAGTTTGCCAATGTTTCCGTCGCACATGCCTTGTCATTCTCAAGTATTCAGATATTGCCAGATACAAATTAGCTTTAGCAGATTCAAATGGATGAGCACTATAGGTATCTCTTTCAGTTGATGTGGCTATTCATTCTATCATTTGCACTTGCAGAATCTCATTTTCCTTTTTAAATTTACCTCAGGTTCTTAGCTTATAGAGGAAAAGAATGTCTCGCTCTTCCCCTGGCCATGGATTTCAAGCTATTTCAGATAAGCAACAGAACACGACACTCGTGTACCATATTCATATTTCTCTGTACATAGCGTGACAATATTTTTTCCCCCCTTTTCAGACAGACAAAAATATAACCACATTGATACTTGAAAACCCGAAGCTCATTTTGGAAAGAGCTTTATACCTTTTTTTTTTTTTTTTTTTTTTTTTTTTTTTTTTTTTTTTATATACCTTTTTTTTTTTTTTTTTTTTTTTTTTTTTTTTTTTTTTTATTTGAATTGGGGTTTTTTTTTTTTTTTTTTTTTTTTTTTTTTTTTTATTTTATGAATTGGGGCAATTTTAATTCACAGGTCATTGTTTCAACTTTCAGCCATAGATATCCACAATAATGTATCTCTTTTATTCTGCTAAAGGACTCGGCTTGAATTTTCACTTTTTAAAGCATTATTGTGTAGTATCTTTTGCTAAGTAAAATGTTTATCATTCAAGCCATGAATCCCGCGCATTTTACGCTTACTGTCGTTTTGTACTTGTCTTGAACCAGATGCTTGTGTAATTTTATTTGCTTACAGCTATTCCAGCCAGTTGGGATGTTACGGTAATAATCTAAACGTCCAATCAGTTTAACTTAAAAGAAAATGAAATCTTATTGAACAAACTAAATTAGAAAATAACTTTTCACCAAATCTGTTTAGCTGATTGGTTAGGTTTGCAACATACTGATTACTCACTGTCAACATTTTAATTTTTCATAATTTTATATGATTAGTAAATTTTAGGTATAGATTTTCAATTATCACAACTTTTTATTTGTTTACATGACTCAAAACTAATTAATAAGAAATTAGAGATAATTTTTTCAAAGAAAAGAAAAGGTAAAACATTTTGAAATTTTTTATTCTCGTACTGTTCCAGGCCGGTTCGAAATCATGAGCCCACGATTCCGGTTCTCCGACTACGGTAATATCACAAAACGATATGTGAAAATGCTACCCAAATAAGTTTGGGTTCTAAACAGGCCTACAATAATACAAGGCCCAAAAATAAAACATTATATGAAGGCTGGGTTCAAAACATTTTTTGGGTTTGGGTCCAGTTAACCAACCCCTCATGCGCCCAAGCTTAGCTGGCACGTTTTCCACCTAATACCAGCCACCACCACCTCCTCCTCCGCCGCCGCCACCACTTGCACCACCCAATACCCAACAACAAAACCACACTTTCCAAACCCTAACCCTAACCCCCCACATTCGCACAATGGCCACGCCATCACCGTCTCCCTCTCCACCACCGCCGCCAGAATCACCATCATCAAAACCTAAAGGCAAGAAACCCCACCCTGTGCCCTGGACCCACCAAGAAACGGTCCATCTAATCCAAGCCTACCAAGAAAAATGGTACTCCTTAAAACGAGGACAACTTAAAGCCAACCAGTGGCAAGAGGTGGCTACAACCGTCGCAGCACGGTGTGGCTATGACTACAATGGTCACCCAACCAAAACCGTCATCCAATGCCGCCACAAGATGGAGAAGCTCCGGAAACGGTACCGCGAGGAACGACGGCGTGTGTCTGTTACCGGCGTATGCTCCTGGCAATATTTTGACCTCATGGACTCCTTGGACCGAGGTCCAGTGCCTATCCAAGCACGGCCTTTGTCTTTAATACCACCCAATGATACTGAAGAAGAAGAAGAAGAAGATAGTGAGGAGGAAGGAGAAGAAGAAGAGGAAGAAGAAAATTATGGGTATAGAAGTAAATCAAGGAGTATTAATTATATACTGAGAAAACCAACTATTGTTAATCGTTTTGCAGGAAGTGATTCTGGGTTTATAAGGGCAGCGGTGGCTGCGACAAAGAGAAAGAGAGAGGAAATGGCAGCAGCTGTGCAGGTAGTAGAGGAGGAGGAAGTGGAGGAAGATGCGGCGGGATTGAGTTTGGCAGGAGAAATAAGAGCTTTTACAGAAAGAATGGTAGGAATGGAGAGGAAGAAGATGGAGATTATGAAGGAGACTGAGAAATTGAGAATGGAAATGGAGAATAAGAAAATGGAAATGATTTTAGATTCTCAGAGGAAAATTGTTGGTACGGTCTTTGCAGCTTTTGGGCTGAGAGAGGACTAAGAATTTTTAAGGTTCAGTACTCTTCTAATTTTTAGCTGCAGTATTAGGATTATGAATATTATTCCTCTTGATAGTCAAATTTGAATTACTACTGCCAACAACAAGTTTTTGATGATGATGATGATTTTATTCTATCAGATGACGGAATGAAATAGCTGTAGTTATTTGATATAATTTCATCTGAATTGTCTTTGCTATTCTTGATTAAAAATGTAGTGAATTGATTTCAGTGACTTGAACAGCAGCTAACAATAACATGACCAAAAATTGAAACTATAGTTGCTGAAGGTTATGTGTTTATGTGTTGGAAATTGCATCTTCATTTTCTTTATCCCTATTGTATTTGTTAGATAAGAGTGGAAAATTATTTGCTACTTTTTCCGAAACATTTTTGTTATCTTTCTCTTACTACGAGTTTGCAGATTTCTTTAAGAAGAGTTGTCTGTCTAAATACTGCTTATAATTGGATTGGTTTTGAACCATATTCTTCTAGTTCAAGATCCTGCCCTGCCATCCATCACGAGTCATAAATTAGTGCTTCTTGAATCTGAGTATGAAGGTAACCATGCTCTCTTGACTTCATTTTTAGCACTTCAGGCTATTAATCATTAGGATTTCTGCCTTTAAAACCTAATAATTCCACATAATTGGTTTGGTAGTTATTTTGTTTTAAGCAGATGAAAACTCCAATCAGTGTATGCTGGAATCTTTTTTTTTTTTTTTTAATGCATCAATACTTCTATGGTGAAATATCGTCTTAACTGCCAGGATTGGTTTCTGGTAGAGAATTTTTTTGGAAAGTAAAATTATTAACAGGCCGAAGTTCGATTACATTCTGGAGAAGAGTGTAGTATTATATTCCGCTTATTTAGCTCTGGCAGGTAGCTTTGATTATTGCCTTTTGAGGCATTTAGTTATAGCTTTAGTTATTTTCTTTCAGTAAATTGCTAAAGCGCATATCCTTTAGCACGTTTTGAGCAAGATGAGATGGTAGCACATGCCAAGTTGTAGGATGAAACTGAAAAAATGTTACCCTATATTTTGTTTACCAAGATGAATCGATCGAACCCAACTGTATGCCTGCTCTCTTTTTTTTTTTTTTTTATCCTTTAGCAACGATTTTGAGAAGATGAGTGGATGGTAGCACAGCAAGTTTGTTAGGATGAAACTTGAAAAAAATGTTACCCTATATTTTGATTTTTACCAAGATGAAATCGATCGAACCCAACTGTATCGCCTGCTCTTCTTTTTTTTTTATTTTTCTCTCTCTCCCTCTCTCTCTCTATTACCTAAATTAAATTTGATTAAAAAATCCTGATTACCAGCTGAAAGGGCTACCATCATATCTATCAAATAAGGTAAACCATCCTTTCTAGAACTCGAATCAGTTTTACGGAGCATACAGTCCTTATGTATAAGTATTCATAAATCAAAAGTCAAAGCCAAGCTTTACAGAAAAGGAAGACAATTCCTAAATGCGATGTATTTAAAGATGTTGAACAAGAGATCATTTAATAAAAGATACCAATTAATAATGAACTGTCAAAACTGGCTTTCTTCATCAGCAAATTAAAGCAGGGCAACTCACCTACATTTCCACTGCATTTGCAAACCAAATAACTGGAAACAAAAAATTGGAAGACAACAATTGGCTATCTTTTTTTTTTTTTTCTCTCTCTCTCTCTCTCTCTATTACCTAAATTAAATTTGATTAGAAAAATCCTGATTACCAGCTGAAAGGGCTACCATCATATCTATCATAAGGTAACCATCCTTCTAGAACTCGAATCAGTTTTACGGAGCATACTCCTTATGATATAGTATCATAATCCAAAGTCAAGCCAAGCTTACAAAAAAGGAAGACATTCCTAAATGCGTGTATTTAAGATGTTGACAAGAGATCATTAATTTAAAAGTACAATTAATAATGAATCTTCAAAACTGGCTTTCTCATCAGCAAATTAAGCAGGGCAACTCACTACATTTCCACTGCATTGCAAAACCAATAACTGGGAAACAAAAAATTGGAAGACAACAATTGGCTATCAGAAATAACAATTTGGCCCAGATGGCGAAAGGGGAAAAGGGATCGGTGATTTTCATTAAGAAACTATTAAATGTAATCCGTAGTAGCAAAAACTGCTACCACATGCTTTTACACGTTCAGTTGTTTACATATGTACAAGGAGAGCTAGGCTTGTTGAATCCTGCAAATTTAGATGCCAGTAAAAGTCAGTTAAATTTTAGAGCAGAGATTTTCATTCACAAAATTTCCGAAGGCTTTTTTTTTTTTTTTTTCCCATTAACAATGAGATAACTACCAACATCATCTGCAAGTGTAAGAAATACATGCACTAATCTACTGGGGCACAAAAAAAGAAATAGGCCCCTCTGCACATGAGCAGGGAAACCAGGCCAAAGGTGGTGATAAGTACAAGAACTGGAGAGATGAGACCCTGTACACATACCTATATCTGTCTCCATCTTCCAAAAGCCCTAGACAAGTGGTAATTTACATGATTTCCCCCAATTTTTAATTTAAAAAGGAAAAGAAAGAAGAAAAAAGGAAAAGAATTTGGCCCGTAGACAACCCTTTAGTAAATAACAAAACCTGCAAATAGCAATCATCACCCCCTTCGCATGTTGCACTGCCCTTGTGGAGTTATCAGCCTCATCTGCATGAAATCCACAGAACAATACATCATTCTCCCTTCTTAACCAACTATTATAGCCGTTTGAGATACCCAATTAAAAACATGCCAACACTGAGATTAAACCAATTGAAGTATAATGCACATGATCAACAAACCTATGAAAAACAAACATTGGAATGTAATGACATCCTAAATTACTTGACAAAGATAATTTAAATATTAATTTGTAATTTGAGAGAAGGAAATAAAAGCAGGAAAATTTTAGTAAAATCTACTCTAATTCAGTTAGGATGAATAGCAAAGTAGTTCATAAAACCATCATAACAAATATAGTCAGATTAGTGGTGCATGCTAACTAAATGCCTATCAAATACAGAATTGATGTGATAAAATGCCAAATTTACCTGTACATCGCTGCTAAAAGGGCATGCAAACCAAGGCTTAGCAGCGCCGACTGCTTCTGGAACCGTTCAATCAGTTCGATTGCTTCATTCCAACTGAGGATTAGTAGGCCTGATATACAAACTGCCTTGTGCTGATTGAAGATGCTGCGTTTGTTGCTGCGAATGCTGCTGCAGGGGCAGCTGTTGCCGTGGTGACTGCTGTTCTTGTTGTGACTGCTGCTCTTGTGTCTGGAATAGTTGTTTAGAAGAGGATGGTGGTGGTGGTGGTGGTGGTGATTGTGGCAGTGTTGATTGTGATAGTTGTGATTGCTGTTGCCACTGTGTTCCTAGGCTCCCATGTTGGGACAAGCCTCCTGATAACTGCCTCTGCCCTAAACCTTGGTGGACAGATGCCACAGGCTCACTTCCAGCTGATTTAGTTAGAGGTGGGCTCCCAATAGAACCCACTTGGGAGGCTTGATTTGGCATCACAGAATCACACAAGGGTTCTGATGGTTTCCATTGTGAAGCAACAGAGGCAGCGGGTACCACATTAGCTGAATCATTACATGCTTGAGACACTGATGTAGATGTACTTGTATTGATCTGGGAAACATTGCTCATAGGCTGCTGTTCTATATGGCAGTGATCAGTTTGAGACTTGCTTGGCAGATCAGTATTCAACTGATGATTCTGTTGAAGCATTCTCTGAACAGTTGGTTGAGCTTGGCCAGCCTGTTTCTGATGCATTTGTGGCTGTGGTTGTGGCTGCAGATGCTGATGGTTTGAAGGAATAACTGCCTTTGGAAGAGTTTGATTAACTGTAGATGGTGCATGACCAGAAGGTACTGAGAGGGCCTGACCTTGAGGAGTATTATTATCAGAATGAGAAGGCATCTGCTGCATTTGCTTTGATGACGGTGGTGCTGAGGCAGAAAATAACTTCTTCTGTGGCTGAGAGTGGCTTGCGGATTGAGTAACCAATGGTTTGGATGGTTGTATTGAACTCAAGCCAGTACCAGAATATAAGCCTTGACCTGGCATCAAGTGCATGATGTGTTCTCCTTTCTCTGCACTTTGGTTTCCTGGAGGCACAGAAAGGCCATTCATATGAGAATGATCAGCAGAAAGGTTCTGATGCACCACCATATTCCCTCTTCCCATTCCCTTCAAAAGTTTAGATTGCTGCGGGGAGTGTGAATGTTGCCGCTGCTGAGGATGAACCCGGCCAGATTGTTGAAACTGCTGATGCTGCTGTTGCTGCCGCAGTCTTTGCTTCCCCATCTGATTAGTCAACCCACTGCCAACAGGTTGAGAATTTCGGTTGATTCCATGATGGGGCAATGCATGTTTCTGTTGCTGCTGCACCGACATGGGAGTCATTGGCGAAGTTGCTGTTAATGGGGAAAGTGATACTGGCTGTGATGAAGTTTGTGGCTGAATCTGGGAACTATTTTGCATAGACGACGATATGGGTAGTTGGGGCTGAGGTTGAACATGTGGCATTAAGGCACCAGATGCAGCAAACTGCTGTTGCTGTTGCTGTTGCTGCTGCTGCAGAAGCCGCTGCTGCCTTTCTTTAGCCAAACGAATTGCATATGCTTGCTGCTGTGACCCTGTAGCATGATTGGAGCCCTGAAGATGAGGATGATGAGGATTACTCATCAAATGGGATTGCTGTGGAGGCATTTGATGTTGCTGTTGGGGATGAGCGGTATATGTCTGCACAGCTGGAGGAGTTGTTTGATTGGCAAAAGCAGAACTCAATCCATTAAAAGCAGGAATTCCTTGGCTGCTTCCTTGTGTGACCTGCATTTGTAGATCTGGTACTGTCATCTGTCTTTGATGCTCTGAGTTATGGCCACTCTATGAGAAAATTAAATGCTTTTGTCAAATAATATAGAAGTACTGATGCACTATAATGTAGAGAGAAAAAAAAAGTATGAGAGTGAAATTGCAGTATGGCGGCATAAAAAACTACTACAGAAATTTATTGATGAATTTGGATACGAAAGATAAATCGAAAAGATTAGGTTTAATAAAGTTATTTTTCAGATAAAATTTATTATATTTATCTCAAAGGCCAAAATATGGAGTTTGACACCTAAAAAAAATTTAAACATGGAGTTCATAAATTGGAAGTCTATATTTGCCAAGAATCATAAAAAGTATTAGAGTATCATAGCTTTTGCATATATCAAGTCTTTGTACAAGACATGTTAACATATTAAGAAGTCTCAATTGGGTCATGTGAGCTGATGTTTTCTCATAGGCGTGCAATACATAATACACATTGAAAAAAATAAAACCGATAAATGAAGATTTATATCAATATGCCTGAATAGATAAATTCACGGAATCACAAGTACAAAAAATTTGAGCATATGTCAGCATTCGTTTCTTTGTCCATTTTCTATCATAACTGTATATCTACATTTGCAACAACTATCATATCAAGCTCAACAAAAAAATAATAATAATAATTAAAACTAATAATAGTTATGTAGCTTTATTATTTGTCACAAAATCATACAAAATCACATGAGACAGTGACTAGTATACATAAAAGGAACTTACCCGCATGATGTGCAATCCCTCACGAGACCTCATCATTGAGTTCCCTTGACCGGAGCCACTTCCAGACGGCATAGTTACAGGGCTTGGCATCCCAACCATACCAGAGGAAAGCATACTACCAGAATTCATCATCGATGATGAGGCCATTCCCTGAAAGCCTGGCCTTGGCACTGACATGCTTCTGTTCATCCCAGGAATCATGCCTGCAGGATTTCCACCAGGAAGAACGCGGACACCTCGATCAGCTCCGGAAACAGGCAAGTTAGATTGCTGCAAATTTCTGTTAGACAACATTTGATTATAATGTTGTATTCTCTGCTGCTCATCAACTGGTAAAGATGTTCTTGGAACAGCATATCTACCATCCCTGACAATAGACCCAGTGTCTCAGCATGCAGAATATAATATTTAAAACACATACATCTATAATGATAACCTCAAGCAACACCACCTGATAGGAGCATTTAGTGGACCAGATGGGGACAAGTTATTGCCTAGAACAACACCAGGAGATGCTTGCAGCGAGGAATTCGCCCCAGATGTAGGAAGAACTGATGGTACAGAACCTTGATTTGGCATGGGTAAACCACTACCATGTGAAGTTTGATACGCAATGGGAACATCTGGGCTAGATGCATTTGTATCACAGAGATCAAGGGGCCTACATTCACCCAACAAAGTGAAAGTACTATTACAATTGCTTGCATAAGACAAGCAACCACATGTATGCCAAAAATGATAGAAAAACAAGATTAGGAAACTTGTGAAGATAAACACTTGGAAGCTGAATGTGTAGAAGGCTAGATAGCAAATGTGTACCAAGCACGAAAACTTACGTTAAAGCACCTCCATTTTGGTTTGTGGGTACTTGGTCGAGAGCCGTAACGTGAGAATGGTGAACCGGTACTATCTGTTTAGGATCCTGGTATTCATTCTTCAAAATATACATAAACCAAAAATCATAGTCAAGAAATAAATTTGTAAACAGAAGATGAGAGCAAATAAAAAAAGAACAGTAGATCATTTCAAATGTCAAACATCTGCTTAGGACATACAAACAGAAGAACACTGCATAATTTAATTTTCTCTGTTTTCACTTGCTTTATATTATATAGGTTACAATAACTGTTGCCAATGAAACATGCTAATGTAGCTTAGAGCACTCAAGCTTGTATCAAGCCATGCACTCTCAAAACCATGGGATAATTGAGAGAAAAAAATGCAACACAAATTTTCATCACGTATATGGAGGCAATAAACCAAACTGTAGCCGGGGTCATGTTCGGATTTGTATGTCAGAAGTAGACCTGTTCATGGTCCCGAGTACCAGGCCAGCCAACTCTAATTTACTGGACTTGGACATGTAATTTTTCCCTCACCCTAATCTGGGCCAAACTCGTAGTGAGCTCAAATTTCATATGACAGGCTTGCATTTATTTTAAGGCTTGAGCTTGGCCCGAACATATTACATAATTAATAAGCAACATAAACTGATCTCTCATACATGCGCATGATGGATCATAGACAAACCTGACACCTCCGGAAATGGTACTTTTTCCCGATCAAAATAATCTTTTCAAAATGAGATTTGAGAGTATCCTCTTCCATCGGACCTTGTAATCGTTGAAATAACTGTCTGGCACTGCCCTGTACGAAATGCAACAATATAAAACAACCAACCAAATGGGCCAAAAAGCCTCATATTATACTCAGAAAGGAAAGAGTTTATCAAAGGTGAGAGTGTTTATCAGAGTACAAATAGTCTTGCCTTCGGGATGCCAGGCAACGTTGATGGATAAGATTGAGAAGATCCTGAATCATCAGCACTATCAGCCCCATCACCAGCACCCTTATCCATTAAACCTTTGTGACGCTCTTTACATTCTTTAGGGTTGCGAAATATACACTGAATATGCGGAGGCAACCAACAGAAAATCTTTTTTTATCATAAAAACAAAAAGGGGGAACAGCTTGAATATCTAGAAAGTAAAAGGATAAAATGTGCTTTAGAGTAGGAGAGAAAAGGAACAGGAAAAGTTTCGAGGCAAAAAGGAGTATGGTAAATACTGTTATCCACAATAGCCAGAAATGTATGCCAATGACAAAGCAAGCAAGGAAATTGAACACACATGATTTACCTTAAATTGAAGGGTGCTGTTGATGGCATCACTTACAAGCTCCCAATTAGGACCCATATCATGAACCAGGACCACCAGTGCCTGAGTCAATAAAAGTATCACAAGGTACTTAATCACAGCTTTGAATACCACAGATGATCAGATTCTAGATTCTAGAAACACACTCGAGGTAAACCAACCTGATCTTCAAAAGGTGACCATGGACTTCCAGATCCTGTCTGCCCAGGAGGCACCTATAAAGGAGATAAAAATGAACTCAAAATGGGACACCTTGTAAACACTGAAAGTTGGGAACCTTGCCACGGCAACATCAAAGTTTACCTTAAGCGATTTAGGTTTTCTGCCCCTGTCTCGACCAACAACCAATTTCATGATTTTATTTGTGCTGGGCATATTACTCATTTGGGAAGCTGCAGGAGAAGGAATAGAACCACTCATTGGAGCCATGTTGTCAAAAGTATCTAGTGATTGCTTCATTATCTTTGGTTTCTTCGCAGTATGTTGCCCATATAATAAACCTTAAAAGGAAAATATTTGAAACTTTTAAGAACATAAAACACTATGTGCACATGTTGAGCAGAATTGGATTCCTATATATCCACTCACCACTGGTTCCATTAGAGTCAAAATGATGATTCTCCAGTCTCTTTTTGGAATTATCCCTCTGGAGGAAGAGAAGAACCAGGAAAAATAAAGAACTGTTTAGACAGTTGACTCTAGAATGCAAAAATTTGTTCATAATAACTGGATAATACACAAGTAACATTAATCCAAAAGGTGTAAGACTACATAAATAAATGTCTTAATGATATATTTGCAAAAGAATGGACAAGCAAAAAAAAAAAAAATGAATTTATTGGAAGATTTCTCATCTCCATCACTGAGCTAATGGAATGGTCATTGGTCAACTCTAACATTTGGTCCTTCAGAAAAACTTTCAAATTACAAATCCCTCCAGCCTCGCCGAAATGAATAAACAGGAAAAACTCACAAATTTGTTTATGGTTTATCCAGTATACCTAACAGTATGACATACCACACAAACATCCGTATGATGTATGAGAATATTAAGCAAACGATTAAGGATGATTTTTTTTTCAAGATATCACTCTGCAAATGCATACAATAGTCAAACAGGTAGGGAAAAAAAAAAAAGCAGTAGCAGTGATTTAATAGATAATTTGATGTGACAAGAAGAAGAACAAATGCTAACTCTAGCAACAATCTAGGACAATCATCTGACAAGCTGATGAAAGTTTTTAATTTCTTGACAATGAAACAACTTTCCAGAAGATAATTTGGAGTTCATTCTATTTTTCTCTTAAAAGTTGTTCTGAATCAATGAACTATTTAAAAGAAAAAAAAAATAAAAGTTTCAGGAAGAGTAAACTAGCAACTTAATCACCTGTTCATTATGAACATTTGAATCTAGAGGCCAAATTGGCTCGTAAGCAGAATCCTGCAACCAAGTAGAATTATGCAACTAAACAAGCAGTCCAGGAAGAAAAAGAATCAAGGAAAAACTCTACAATACAAGTTCCAGTGTCCCATGAAATATAAAATCCCCACATACCATATGTTTAGCCTTCTTCTTCTTTTTAGGCTTTATTGATGTCTCTGCACAGTCATATGGTAACTGCTTTTCAAAATCCCCACCTGACTCAACCTCCACACTCTTCTGAATTTGGGATCCACCATGCAAAGTACTCTGGTCGTCCTGAAAAGAACTAGTATCTCCACTCGAAGCATCTGTCCTTGCAGGAGTATGTAGAACCCCAGCAACTCCAGCACCAAAAGGACTTGTAAACCTCTGCCTAGAAGCAGCAGTGCGGATGCGCTTTGTTGGAATTGAACCAACATGAAGATTACTTGCAGGCCTTTTCCCCATCGATGTATTCTGTTGAGAGCCAGGTGTGAAATGCCCGTAAGCCAAATCAGGTCCCATTTCATATGATCTTGCAGAATGCGACTTCACCAAATTTTTCCTTTTCTTCTGGTCATGTTTCGCTGACTTGCTACTTTCAAAGACTCCATGCAAATAATATGTACTTGTTTCTCCTTCCTCCTCATCATATGCATTCTCACGATATCCAAACTCTGAATTTGATAATTAATTTGTAAAAAGCACACGATTATTGAAGAAAGAATTCATATGAGTAAAATAGCTTCAACATTACCTGCTGCAGCATCATATATAGAAGTATCAACTTCCTCTTGCACGCTACTGCCAGTCTTCTGAAAGGGGGAGGAAACCATTTATTGAATAAGCAACAATAAAAAAATAATAAAGCAACAACAAGAGCATTGGATAGAGTAAAAAATTCATCAGAAGTTTGTATAACAATTATGTCAATCCCTTTTCTCATAAAGCAACTATATCATCCCCCAGAATGGCCAACAAAATGTGGATTCATCAACATAAACATCAAAATATCCAGCCACATTGTGCAAGTCATTTTTCAATATCATTCTCTCCTAATTCTCAAAAACTGTCTTTCTATCAAGGGAAAGCAAATAAAAAGCATTGACAAAACACACTACATTATTTATTTACCTCACACTGAACCAAATGAGATTCAATTGACATTCTGTAGGTTTCCATTGCCCCTGAAGGAACCGCATAGAATAGGCTTTCCTGCCAAAGTACAAAAGCTCAAGGCATGATTAATGATACGAGTAACCATGTTTATATGTATAATAAAGATATAACACAATATTACAAGATATCAACATCTATAACCTATAAAACTAACAACAACCATGCGCATAAAACACTAAAATAGGATGGCAGAAGTCAACTTTGTGGGAAAACTTAAAATGGAAAAGATAATGCAGGATGTACATACTTCTGTAAGGTGATCTTCCCACGACATTCCAATAATGCCTGAATCAGCTATTCTATCAGGAGTTGCTGGAGCTTCTGCTTGAAGAGATGGAACAATAGAGCTGTTACATTTTAAAAATCTTACAGCATATCCCTGTATTGGACGTGCAATATTCTTTCCAGAATTTTGTCTCTCTAACTCTTGACCAGTCTCCTATTGGTAAACAGAAGATCAAGAGGAAATGTCAATATCTTGGCACACATGAAATTAAAACCAACCCACTTCTGCAACTCAGTGCAACTACAAACTCATAAGGAGAAAAGCAAGTTTATTGCACGTAAATCAATGTTCAACAAAGAAATACTTAAATCATCCACATTTGGAAGAACCAGATAACCTCACTGTATTTTTCTTAAAAAAGGATTCCTCTGCTTACTAGAAAAATTGTCTTCATATTTATCAAGGATCCTAGAAACTACAGTCCTATGACAAATCAAATAATACTATAAGTGGAAACAGAAGGTAAAAAGAAATAGAACGACAACCAGGTGGATACATATAAAGATTGACTGGTTATTAGTCTCTCGAACAGGAAACAAACTAGCACCTTATCAAGTTTTCCAAACTTGTCTTTTGAAAAGTCATTCCCTTCAGACCTCCTTGGATCATGTTTGCAGCTTTCCAAACTAATGCTTTGATCCTCCTTATTTAGAAGCATCTCTGCTGAATGCCAGAACTGCATGACAGCCTTTGCAAGAGCATAAGCAACCTTTTTAAGCTTCCAATGTTGATTCTGTTCTTCAACTCTCAACCGAGAAGTAAAAGCAACCCGGCGGCATATTTGAGCAGCAGCAGTCATTTTCCAAAGACGCTCCTACAAGCAAATATTGAACAACTTAAAAGAATTAAACATCATAAAATCATCAATCCTCAGCATGGAGAAAAAACTTCCGAAGAGAATTCAATACAAAATAATGCAGAATATTTTTTTTTTTAACTGTAGCATGTATCAATAGCCATACCTGTGCAAAATCATTTGCCAACCATGTCATTTCTTCGAGCACAAAGTCCCAGTGAGATTTTCGGCGACTCTCCAAGGGAACAATTCCAACAGATAACTCTGCAATCCTCTTACGTTTGGCCTGTTAATCACAGTACAACATATCTTCAGAGCTTTATAAATAATTAAATGCCATTCGCACAATGTTTAACAATCAAATCATGCAGTATGAGAGAGCATGAAGAACCAACCTCTATAATCCGTGCCTCTTCCAAGATAGAATCTTCATGAGCCTTGTCTATCATTATCAAAGGACTATCAGAACAAGACTGAGGATCACGAGTGATAGAAGAGTTTTTCTTTGACAAGGTTGATTCATGGGACTCTGGAACAGAGAGATCAGCAGAGCCCCGAGATCCACCAGAGCACACAATTTCTTTGTTAGGACTGGAATCATCATCCAGCACATTACACAATTTTTTATCAGTCTTGGATGCAGCATTGCCACTCCGCTCCAGTACATCAAAGTTAGAACATTTCAACTCTTTTTGCAAATCAGAACAACTCTGAATTTCCTCCTCAATTTTGAAAGAATCATTGACAGAGTTGTTTTGAAGCATTAAATTGTTATCTTCCTTTATGACAGCACTCTTGTCCGTAGCTTCAGTCTCATTCTTTTCATTTCCCATCTCACCAGCCACTAAAGTTTGCATTCTTTCAGATTCTGATGTTCGGTTCACAAGAATTCCATTACTATCATTGTTTTCGCCATTAATACACACATCACTCTCATTATTTGCATCCAAGCATAGGCTGTTTTGTGTGCAAGAGGATTCTGAATCTAATCCTTTTGTTCCTATCGTACCATTGGCATTTTGACCTTCATTGCAATCTCCTTTCAAGTCACCAAATCCATTTAACTGGGTAGAATCATTTTCATTGTTAGGTTTATCTGCAGTTGCATTAGGTGGATATTCAGGAGCAGCTGAGATTACCTTTTCTTTTCCCCCAACATTATCACATTCTCCAGAAGCCATGTCCATCGGTGTTTTCTGAGCATCAACTTCTGACAGTTGATCACGTTGGTTATCCTTTAAAATGTTAGTCTCAGTAGCATCCAGCCTATCTTCAGGCAAACTACCTTTAGGCGAACTGGATTTTGCTTCCATAACCAGAGCACCATCCAGCTCCATGTTTGACTTGACATTTGTCATCTCAATTTGAGAAGCCACATCACCATTTGAAGTGGTGCATTTTGTGTAAGAAACAGAAGGAATAATCTGGTCTTTCTGATTGTTTGTTTCAGATATTGACCCCTTCACATCTTTCAAAACTCGATGAACATGTAAGAGAGATCCATGACCACCAGAACTTTGAACTACATCAGTTGAACTTGACCGTGCACCATCACGGTTTGGTCTGGACCTGTTCCTTCGAGCATATGGGCGAACAATAGCAGAATCTTCTGATTCCTTGGGATTTTGTGTCCCATCCATCTGAGAAGACTGTTCGGATGGAATAATATTGCTTCTCCTATTAGGATGTTTTGTATGCCTATTGCCTTCAAGAATCTCATTCTCACCATCAAAATTATCAGCACTATTGGGTTCACAAACTGTGTGAGCCCCTGGTCTGCCGCTACTTTCCACAGAGTCCCCATGAGGTGATGCAGTCAGTGCGAAACTACCTTTAGCTTCACTGTAGTTACAAGATGAAAGAGAGAAGAAGAAGCATCAGCAACCAAATAATTTACGTATTTACAAAACTACAATACAAAGAGATAGAGCAGGAAAACGCATATACCTAGTCACAAAATGTTCAGTGTGGTGATCGGTGAGAGAAGTAGACTGGACACTAACAGAAGCTGCACTCCCAAATTTAAAGTCTAATGGATTGCCACCCTGCAGGTATTGAAATATGTAAATTGATTATTTATAATATAAAAAGTACAGAAATAGTAAGAGATTGACTGAAATGCCATACTTTCTCAAGAAACTCTAGCTCCCTTCTCCTTTCCTCACGAACATCATACTCCTGTCTGTTAACAATAAATATTTTCTCTCATTTATCCAGAAATAACAAGAAATGCAATGTCATATCACTGGGAACAGAAAATAACGTATTAGGAGCAATGACAAACAGAAAAGTGTATGCTATTATCACCTAAGCTCTGCCTGAGCTCTCTCAATTGCTGCTCGGCGCGGAGAGGTTTTGATGCCAATTCCAACTCCGCCGTCAACAACCCCTCCCATGGAATCAACTTCAGCATTTACTAAGAGACCAGATCCTGAACAACATCCATGCATTCCTACCTCAGTTACAACCTTTCCCCTCCCATTGCTTCAGAAACTGTCAAATTTCTCAACCAAACATAAGAAAGAAATGTTGGCATAAGGTAAAGCAATATCAGCACCAAAAAAGCACTTTCCCGTCAATGAGCCGAAAATGTAGCAAGGGTCATAGCGTAATGAATAAAGTCCCCATTTAAGTTAAAATTGAATGGCTCAAACAGCCAATCTTGACTTATTTGAACTGCAGTTACTTATTACTGATATGGAAAGCATAAATATGACTTATTCTGGAAATCCAAGATGAGAATGTAAGTAGTATAAATACCATTAACAAAAAGTAGCAAGAAGAAAACATATTCAACAAGCCACCTTTGACCGAATAGGTTAGGGAAAAAACAAGCAGGCATGTGAGTTCATGATAGGTAGCTTATAGCTAATTAATGTTCATCACACTAGTCATGCATGCTTCTTACTATTCTACTAGGGGCATACGAGCCTTATTAAGCTACAGAAATGTAGATTGACTTGGACATGCTTTTGTTCAATATTTGAGATGATTGAGAAGTTCTTAATGAAACAAAAGTAATAAGAATTCAAATTTATGCAGCAGCTCCACAAATCTGGCTGTTTGAATATGTCAAATATGTTCGCAGAAGGATCCAATGTGAACAAACAAAGTACATATGTTTTAGCATCTCTGCAACTACGCCTGATGCTCTCAACAATAAGTGTGCTTAATACACACAATAACTTCACAACCAAATTAAGTATTAAAACCATTAAATACCTAAAAAAAACACAATAGAAGAAATGAGAATCAATGTTGCAGGCATGAAATATCAACAATGTCATAAAAAAATTATAAGCCCTTTACCTATTAACTGCAGTATGAAAAAGTAAGCATCGTATGCAAGCACTTTTATCTTTACTAGCATATTACTGAGCTTAGAGTAACACTCATTCAATCCATAAACCCTAAAACATCATTTTGTAATTGAACAACAACTGTTACACAGCTAATTTACCATGTTATATCCACTGCAAACATCACAAATATCAGAACAAGCTTGCACAAATAGAAACGCATTAAGTACCAGAATCCATATCTTATGATTAAGGACGAAAGTATGATCCTAATAGTTCAAGTTCCAAATGTCTTTTGTTTAACAAAGGACGTGGATTATCCATTGAAACAAAAGCAGTAACTAGTGATTGCATGACAACGGTGAATGAGCCCAGGAAGTTGAACATGTGCATGCAAACATGCAATAAGAGCAGAAACATGTTTAGCGCCAAGAAGTCCCTTAAAATTCCGACACAAGCACCGCTTTAGAAACTCAAAAATGCATCGAAAGCAATTTTCAAGTTTAGAAACAATAGCAAACCAAGTGACTGCATTTAATTCCTCCTTCACATGAATTTCTACGACTCAAAACATAAATCCGCGAGCACTCAACGAAAATGCGTAACAAAACCACAGGACAAACGAAATGAAATCTCCTGTACCTCACAAAGAAACCCTAATTTCATCAAATCGACATATAATTTGCACAAATTCGACATTGCACCCCAATTCTAGGGTTTCCAAAGCACAAGGAAACAAACCCAAAAATTGGAGCAATAATCACCTGAATTGCAAAATTGGGGAGCTAGGGCACAGCACTGAGACAATTAGGAAACGTCCCTCTCTTGCAACACTTTCTCTCTCCTAGGGTTTTGGAGCAGTGAGCAAATACCTCAAAATAAACAAGGGAAATTTGCCCTAGAATTAGACGCGTTGCTGCAAATGTCAGCCATGAAGACGTGCTATGAAGTCTCTGTAATTCTCTCTGTGTCTCTTCAAAAAGTCCTTTCACTTTTCAATTTTTTTTTTGGGCAATTATGTATCTCGCTCTGTTTTTTTTTTTTTTTTTAAGAAACCCTTAATTTCATCAAATCACATATATTTGCACAAATTCGACATTGCACCCCAATTCTAGGGTTTCCAAAGCACAAGGAAACAAAACCCAAAAATTGGAGCAATAATCACCTGAATTGGCAAAAATTGGGGAGCTAGGGCACAGCACTGAGACAATATAGAAAGTTCCCTCTCTTGCAAACACTTTCTCTCTTTCCTAGGGTTTTGGAGCAGTGAGCAATACCTCAAAATAAACCAAGGGAAATTTGCAAACCCTTAGAATTAGGACCGCGTTGCTGGGCCAAATGTCAGCCATGAAAGACGTGCTATGAAGTTTCTCTGTAATTTCTCCTGTGCTCTTCAAAAAAGTCCTTTTCACTTTTCAATTTTTTTTTTGGGGCAAATTATGTATCTCGCTCTGTTTTTTTTTTTTTTTATTTTTGTCCTTCTTCTTTTTTTTTTTTTTTTTTTGTCCTTCTTCTTTCAGGTTTGCTTTTCGAAGGGGGTACTATGCGAGAGCTCGACCTCTCCCTCTCCCTCTCTCTCTGTGCCTGAGTAATAATGGGCTTGGGTTTTTCGCGAAGAAGACGACGATGAAGGGGCCTTTTTCTGTGCCATTTTGGGCTTTTATTTTTATTATTTTTATCCTTCATTTTCCGTAGTTGCTTTAATGGGGATGAAATTTGCAACAATTTTACTTAAATTGGCATAAATGATTATGTTTTTCTTTTTATTTAAAACAATGAAATAATTAATTTCTAATATTTTGTACATTTATACGATTAATTAAAAGGATAGTATATTAATATAATAGAATTTTAATGAGCTTTGGCTTAATAATGGATATAAAAAGAGAGAAGAAAATAAAAATATATAGTTTTCTATTTAAAAACTTTTTTTATTGATGAATTTATATAACATGCTTCTTCAGTCGCAACGTTCCATGATAATATTTCATTTTTCCTTTTTTAGGTGTTTTAAAATAATAGTTTTATTTTCAAAAATAGAATTTTTTTTTTTTTTTTTAACTTTGCCATAGTATTCCTATATATATCCATATGTATAGTTAAGTAATGTTGCATAAGTATCTCCATAAATATGAGCAGCCCCCATGAATATTTACTACATCTTATGCTTTGATTGACAAAAAAAAAAAAAAAAATCTCAAATATGGTAATCCATGTAGTCTTGCTTTATCTGGCTTAATTAATTTAGTCAACTCATTTAATTAAAGTACATGAAAAAAAAAATTCAATTAAACTAACGTAATCATTTACCGTTAAACTACTTGAAATAGATACGCGATTATTGTTCTGAAATTGATTAAAAAACTATATTCCATTTATTATAATTTTTGTTTGATTAATTTATCTCACTTGGAAATATGGAATGTAACAAAATTTCATGAAATTCATTTCCAACTTGATATTTACATTGTTGAAATCTTATTAATTTAAGTTTTTTTCTCTTTTTTTTTTTTTTTTTTTTTTTTTTTTTTTCATTGCTTGAATCTTATTAACTTTTAAGCTTTTTTTCCTCTTCTCTTTTTTTCTTTCTTTTTCTTTTTTTTTGCTCTAATACTCTCCCCCTCTTGGCTTAACTCTTTTGTCATAACTCTTTTCTTTTTTTCTCTTCTCTCTCTCTTCTAAATTTTTCTAGCTCTTTCTGTATTTTTTTTCTTTTAATCTTCATTTATAAAAATTGGGATAAATATCTGTAATTATGCGGTACATTTCACTTCTTTCTTTTAAATTAACAATATTTATTACCTGACAATTCAAGGTAGTCATCAAGAAAAAAAAAAGGAAACAAAAAAAGGGTTTTAACCTTTCATAATTAATTTTTTTTTTTTTTTTTTTTTTTTTTTTTTTTTTTTTGCTCTTCCTCTCCCCTCTTGCTTCTCTTTTTGTCAATAACTCTTTTTCTTTTTTTCTCTTCTCTCTCTCTTTCTAAATTTCTAGCTTTTCTGTATTTTTTTTTCTTTTAATTTATGTTAAAATTGGATAAATATTGTAATTATGAGGTACATTTATTTTTCTTTTAACAATTTATTACTACATTAAAGGTAGTATAGAAGAAAAAAAGGAAAAAAAAAAGGGTTTAACTTTATATTTATATGAAAGTTTGTAATTAAAATGAATTTTATATTTAAGTTATACCATTCGAAATACAAAAATAGAGGCAGAATTAAACTTTAAATATTAAGGGACCGAAAATTAAAACAAAATGAAGGCAAGATTAGAGGGCCTTATTTGAAGTAATATATAAAATTATAGGTGAGAAGTTGAATTCTGAAAAATTTTTGGAGTCAAAATAACTATTTTTTAAAATAGTATAAAATTTCAGGAGAGAGAATTTCAATTTTGAAAAACTCCCCCAAGCTACGAGGTGCATCGGCTCCGTACAAAAATTTATTTATAATAAGATTTATTTATAGATGAAAACATTTTTAATTCATTTGTTTGAAAAAAGCACTAATGAACTTTGACTCAATAATGATGTTGAAGTTATTTTAACGGGAATAAGATTTTTTTTGTTTTTTTTAAAGAGAAACGCAACTAATGCATTACCTTAAAGGAAAAAAATTTCAATAAATATGGTGAGATTGAATCCCAAATTTAGAAGTTGTTATGATAGTAACATGTTCGAGTAAGAGTGTGACCACTTACATTAGTTTGCCTTCTAATTCAAACAACATGAACATATTTCCTACTATCTAAAATAGATTTGCAATCTAAGATAATTAAGCCTAAAGCTGAGTTATTAAATGCTCAGAATTTAGAGCAAAGAATATTATTTAAGATTCAAAATAAATAAAGCTCTTCCCAAGAAAAATTGTTGATTGACAAGGCATTGCCTTATTGCCATTGCCTCCACAATATCCGAGTTGTTACCATCTTCTTCAAACCCTGATACAGCCCTGAGAAAACAATCATCCTCATCCTTGAAAGTGACCTTGAATCCAGTAATACCTGCTAATTGGAAGATGGCACCATCAACGTGAGCTTGCCATTCATTTGAAATATAAAAAATTCGTGCTTGCTAGACCATATCATGTAAGTGTGAGGCTAAGCTATGTTTATGATTCAGCGTTTTCCAGTTCGGTATTTGGCAAGCTGCTGCCAGAGCCCCATCGTGAGATGGCCGAACTTTATTTCACTCAAATCTATTATGAGAATACCATATATGCCAAGTTACCAATGTAAACAAGTTAGCAGCATTTCGATCCAGAAACTGCACAAGTCTCCAAATATTTCTATCCCTAATGCACCCCACTAAAGCATGATCTATATCCTCCACCATGCCACAGAATGGACAGTCTTCACTAATATTAATCCCTCTGCTTTTAATTCTCTCCTTCGTAATTAGCACGCCCCTCAAACTTCTCCATATAAGATCTCTCACCTTTGGTGGGACATTCAATTTCCATACCCTACCCTAAACGTCCCCGTCTCCTCAAAAATTTTCCCTTTCCAAAGTTTTCATAGCGACTGCGTACCATGAACTTAACACTATAAATACCCCTCCTCTCAAAATTCCAAATGAGTTGGTCTTCTCCATCCATCAAACTAAGGGGAATCTCTAGGATAGTCCTTGTGTCTCTAGCATAACATAAGTTCGTGATTTTTTCTATGTCCCACTTATACTCATTAATCCATTCACTCTCATATTTGGATTAATAAAACCATCCTCATCACTTACTTTAAACAATGGAAAGCTAAGGATCCTTCACAACATTACTACTCAATCCAACGAGAATAAGATTTAATATCTTTTCATCTAATTATAATTATCACTTTAATGTCGTGCAAAAATAAGTAAAAAAGCAATTTTTTACAAAAATTATAAAATAATAGTTTTCACTGTTTTTAATTGATAAAAATATTACTATAATTATAGGTAAAAATTATTGTTTCATTAAAATAAAAATATTAGCTATCATTGTTTTATTATTTTTCAATACAAGTTCGTGTTTTTAGTCATTTGGTGCAAAATTAATGTGGTAATTGTATAAAAAATTAATTTTGAGTAAATTTTATATTGTGCCGAGTTTAGGGAGTAAGTTAATTTTGAGTAAATTTTACATTGTGCCAGGGAGTAAATTGACCTTTCGTCCTTTATAATACTATGATAAGGTTACATGTCTAAAACATCATGAAACTTTGTAATTTGTTCCAATAGCACCATATTTTAACTTTTCTGACATGGATACCATAATTATATTTCAAACCTAAATTAAATTTAGAATTTACATCTATCTATATAAATGCAGAGAAATAGAACTATATCCGTTTACATGATTTTAGAATGTTAAAGTACTGACATGGCATGAGAAATACTTTTTAAAGTGCTGAGTTGTAAATAAATTATTTTTTAAAATTTCCTTATTAATAAAATTATTAATTTAATTCCATTGCATTAATTATTTTATCAAATAAAGGAATTACAAACTACACTAGTGAAGTTAACTAATGAATTATAATATAATTTCATTAAAATTTATTGCATTGCAATTGAATCTCTTTATATTTCTTAATTATAAATAAATTATTACACTAGTAACCATTAAAACTAAATATATGAGAATACATAAGAAAATAATTTAAATTAAAACTATATTTCTTGACTTCTATTGGACCTTTCTTCTTCACACCAGAATTTCTAATTTTCCACTGGATATTCTTTCTCCATTTCTATGAATATATTCTTGAATTTCTTCCAGTGTTTTTCCTTTGGTTTCTGGCACAAACTTCGCCACAAATTGAAAAGTCATCAATGAGAATGCTGAGTACAAAAAGAATGTACCTGAAACACAACCAAATATTACAAAATACTCAGTTCGATATTTTAACATTGCATATCCACTTTCTGTGCTTTTCTTGGAAAAGTTCCAATTTACCTGAGAAACTCCAGCTAATGAGAAAGTTAAAAGTGTAAGCAACTATCCAAGCACCTAGCCAGTTCACCAATACCACCAAGCTCCCTCCAACTCCTTTCATATTTATTGGGAAAATCTGCAAAGAAACAATGTAAGTACTTCAATGACATAAATTTTCTGAATGTCGGATATTGCAGTTACTATTTAGTTACCTCAGACATTATCCCCCATGGAACTGGTCCCATTCCAATTGCATATGCTGATATGAATATCTGATTTCATCGCAAAAGAGAAACAAATATATGAGAAATCAAAATTATACGTTAAATTCCTGGAGTTGCGGAGTGATTTGATGAAATTGGAGTAAAAAATTGTTCGTAAATTTACCAGCAATCCTGCAACAGCTAGACCAGGTACCCATTCGAGCAACAAGCCGTGTGACTGGTTAAAAAAAAATCACAACAATAAATTAATCCATTCAAAAACATAAAACAAAATATGCAATATTTTTTTTCATTTATTGAGACTATTCTCATTTCGGGATTCATGACTACCCTCCACTCTGCAAAAAAATGCAGTATTAGTAATCGCAAGTTTTTGGCATTTTTGGACTTACCTTGAGAAGGAAAGAAATTCCAGCAATGGAGCAGCCCAGAAATGTTCCAACTGCAGAAAACTTCACATATGCAAAAGCATGCTTAGTAATTGTTCAAGTGATTCCTCTGTTAATATATAATGTAAACCAAAGTAATTACTTCTTGGGAAGAAAAAAAAGGTCTACTTATATACCATTATCAGTGGTTTTCTTCCACATTTGTCCATTAACAGTGCTCCCACCATTGTTGCTGGAACCTGAAGAATCAATTTTCAAATGGATCAGCATTCAGCAAAAAATAATAATAATTGATTTTTTTTTTTTTTTTTTTTTTTGCCCCAAGAATGTTCCAACTGCCCAGACAAACCTTCACCATATGCAACAAAGCATGCTTCAGTACATTGTTCCAAGTGATTCCTCTGCTTAAATATATAATGTACCACAAGTAATTACTCTTCTTGGGAAGAAAAAAAACAGGTCAACTTATATACCCACTTATCCAGTGGTTTTTCTTCGCAACATCTTGTCCATTTAACAGTGCTCCCCACCATTGTGCTGGCAACACCTGAAGAACTCAATTTTCAAATGGATCAGCATTTCAGCACAAAAACTAAATAATAATTGATTTTTTTTTTTTTTTTTTTTATTCATTTTTCTGGAAACATACAGATGCCAACTTTCGCCTCCAACAAGTTTTTTTTTTTTTTTTTTTTTTTGGAAAATACCTCAACACAAGCATAAGCAGTGGTTCCAATTGTGGCAGAAGAAAGTCCTGCAGGTTTCATAATAAAATTATTAGTCAATCAGCAAAGACAAAAACTAATAAAAAAAATCACAGAAATTGGTTTACCAGCTGCCACAAAAGTTTCCCTAGTATAATATGCAATGCCATTAATTCCTGAAAATTGCTGCAACATCATTATTCCCCCTGCAATCTGAACAGTTCAGGGCCAAGTTTCCAAGTTATAAGAAAACCAGACAAGTTTGATGGTTCCTGATAAGAAAACCTGACAAGTTAAAAAGGTAAGCAATCTACTTACAAATACAGCCGAAATGTATTGCCTTTGGAATAAATCAAGAACTCTAGTCTTAGGAAGGGCTTGAAGAATTTCAACAGAATCCTGTCAAGAAACACAACTCATAAATACCTGAAATGCACAAGTTAGTGCATGACTGGTTTTTTTAGTTAGTTTAATCAAGGCAAAGTACTTTGATTTCATCCGCTTCACGTGTAATATCAGCATCTTTGCCACGAAGTTTCTGTAGTGCAACTTTGAATTCCTTATCTCGGCCTACTTTTGCCTGAAAAAGTTAAGAGTTTTTAGTTTCATTTTTCTCTCATTTTGCTTAACAGAATTTGAAAAAGATTGTTTATCTGCTTACCAGCCATCTAGGAGATTCCGGAACAAAAAACAGGCCAATAAGCAGAAAAATGCAAGGAACAAGACCTTCAAATAGAATTAACAATCAATACTAATTTTCTGTTAAATAAATTCTGCAGTGAGATTTTTCCTTTCTCTATAGCAATTTGAGATTTTACCAGTTAGAGCTAATGCTCTCCATGATATAACACTTCCCAATAAGAATGCAGTGGATGCCCCAGTAATATTCAAGAGCTGCATATAAAAGTAGTAACGGTTAGAGTTCAGTTCAGTTCAGTTTATATGGACTGTTTTTGAAATAAAAAACAAAAGAAAGCATTTTTCATTTGAATTTCTACCTGATTTAAGGCTGTAAGCCCTCCGCGAAGATTCTTTGGGGATATCTCAGCTATGAATACTGGAACCTGTTTTTTTTTTTTTTGAAAAAAGTTTATTGTTGTTTGAATATTTACGGTGCTGAAAATAATCTGAAATCTAAGGACAAGATCATATATTATCAAGTAATTACCACAAAGGAGAAAACTCCAATGCCATAACCAGTGACAAACCTTCCCATGTCAAGTGAAAAATTTTGCTGAATAAAATCCATAATAAAGGATTAATTGGGTAATTTCAGGGTCAAAAAATTATGGGAAAAAATATAAACTTTTCAATGAATTCTCAAGAACCAAAAAACTTACTTCAGAGAAGAACACAGCTAACCATCCTGCAATGCAGAAACCAGCTGACATTCTCATTGCCTGCTTATCATATTAAGTAAATTAGAGACTAATCACTAATTATTAATCATTTTCTAGAAATTTATTAACATACCCCTTTTCGGCCAATGTGGTCTGCAATCCGGCCACTTGTAAAAGCACCAAACATTGCACCAATAGGTAATATTGAGCCAAACACTGAGTACTGCAAATTGAACAGAAAATATATATCAATTAGTTGCACTTTTCATAATCTGGTATTATAATTACAAAAAAAAAAAAAAAGGGAGGTACTGCATATTGACCAGCAGAAAATATACCTTATCACACTTAGTTGCACTCTTTCATAATCTGGTATTCACTACATTACAAAAAAAAATATTATATTAAAAAAAAAAAAAAAAAAGGTCACCTGAGATGTGCTGAGATTAAGATCTTTCATGATTGCAGATTGAGTGGGTGATGAATAGCCCACCTGCCAAAAGAATAGCTTAAGCTAAAATTACCTAACCTTTTTTTTTTACACTTTTCTGTGTTTGTGTTTTTGTTATCCGTTCCTAAACAAAAAGGAGGAGAAACAAAAAAAATAGAGAAGAAAAACACATTTAGTTGCTAAAACCAGGAATATAAACTCCATCATTCCGTCCTCTAACAATCTGAAAAGGCTTTAATTAAACTTTGAATCATAAAGAAGTTTAAAGAACTTACACAACAACCCATTTCAATAGACCCACAGACTGCAACAAATACGCTAAGCAGAACCATTCCAATGGAACCAGTAGTTTCCTCTTCATTGGGAGTCCCATAATTATTTTTACTATCAGAAGTACTATATTCTGATAGAAGAAATGATATTCCCAGATCTCCAGAAATGCTATATTCTGATTGAAGAAATGGTATTTCCAAATCTTCAAGGCTTCTGATTTCTCTTCGTTCAACATCTAACTCGTGTTCCCCAGTTTCCATACTTAACTTTCAGCTAAAGAACTGAAAGAAATAAAGCAAAAGGAGATATGGGGAGATAAGCAAAGACAAAAACCTTGCAAGTAAGGACTTTCTGTGATCTTTCAACTTTGGGGTAGGGCATATATATGCATGGAAAGATGCAAGACCCTCAAATTATACGAATTTCTTTTTAAATTAAATTCGAAATTTGGAATTCCCACTGTTAGATACATTCCAATTCCTTGACAAGTTTGCTAATTAACAAGTTTGCTAATTAACAGACTCTTATATATATATATATATTGTTTTTTTCCTGTCTCACTTTACCGATAACCGGAAAGATTGGTTTTAATGGTAAGTGTTTGTATGATTTAGCAATAGATTCATATTAGAATACTCTTTCTCAATACTCAAAAAAAGAAAAAAAAAAAAGAACTTTTCTTTTTTTATCTCAAACTTCACCAATCATTGAAAATATTAATTTAACAGGTTGCAAGTTGCATTATCGGATTTGATGATAAGACTTTCTTTGACGTATGAGATTGCTTATCCATTAAACTAATAAATGGAGAGTTTTAAGATTTGTTATGATTTTGTCTTCATAGATAGAAATGCTCTCTCATTACAACCACACAAATAATTTTGGATTGGATTGATGTATAACACTTACGTGGATCATTAACAAAAAAAAAAAAAAAAAAACTACACACCACACAAATAATTTTGGATTGGATTGATGTATTAACCACTTACTTGGATCATTAACAAAAAAAAAAAAAAAAAAAAAAAAAAAAAAAAAAAAAAAAGAATTTTAATTATTTTTAATCTCAATAATACAATATAAATGTGAATTTTGAAGAAAGTAATAAATTTAATCCAGCCAAAATAGAGTTATTATTAAATATCATTTAAAATATGATAATTACTAAACTTAAATAGAACTCTTTTAAATATATAAATCTATGTATTTTTATCTTGTAAAATTTTTACGGAAAAGATAATTGTCCATAGTTTATATTTATATCTTAAGCTAAGCTTGCGTGCTCCTGATTTGTTTTGACGTTGGATTCTATTTCTAACCTTCTAAGCATAAAAGGAAAATAGACAGCGCATGATGGGATTCTACTTCTAAGCTTCTAAGCATCATTTCCAACGTTGGATTTCTGTCAACTTCTAATTCTTCTTCTATGGAAATTATTATATATATATATATATATATATATAATATGTGTGTGTTGTGCTGTGGTGTGTCGTGTGTGGTGAACATAGTAGTATTTATCTATTCAATTATTTTAAATACAAAATCTGGTTCCTTAAAATACTTATCGAGAGAAAAAAACTATAATTCTAAAAAATTGTGTGTGTGTGGTGAACATAGTAGTATTATCTAATTCAATTATTTTAAATACAATCTGGTTCCTAAATACTTATCGAGAGAAAAAACTATATTCTAAAATATTTGTCATATTTATAGTTTTAAAGAATAATAATTTTATGTTTACTTTTTATATATGACAAATAATTATTGCTCTAATTTTAGATTGATCCCCCTATCATATTCCCTCATTTCATCTGTAATATATAAATTGCCCTCTAAACTTACGTAAAAAGAGTCTCTTGGCCCCTCATACTTTAGAAATGATTATATTGCCCCTTAAACTTACAAAATCGTTAATATTGCACCTTCATAAACCTCAATGCATGTAAATTTTAATTCTCTCTCTGCGCGTGCCCCTCTATAAAACTATCCCGAAATAACATTTTAAATCCTTAAAAAACATTTTTTCTATTGCTAATTAATTAATATATTATTAAAACTTACTTTTTTTTCTCTCCCATCCTATTTTCTCTCCACAAATTCATATTGGTTTGGATATTTCCAAACGCCAATCTCATCTCTCCCTCTCTCTCTTCTCTCGTTTACCTCTCTGTTTCTTTAACTAAAGTTGGATTGGGGTTCTCTTTCTTCTATTGTGGTTTTGAATTTCTTTTTGGTTTAATTTTGGATAAAAAATTTAAAGAAATGAGAAGAGAAAGAAGAAGGTTTGTGTTATTTGAGTTTTAGATGTGAAGAAGCTAAGGTAGTTTCAACTAATGTCTCTTAATTTCTTGATTTCTTTATAACTTTTTAGCAAACACCCACTTGCTTCTTTAGCATTGGCAGTGGTATTGGTTCCAAAAGGGATATGTTGGACAAGAACAGCAACGATTCTATCAACAACGGGCAGCGATTGAGTTTGGGTTTTGGGTTGGAAAAGAACGGGATGAGGAGCAATTTTTGGTTGTTCATGGCGTTTTACTATTGCACCTGGGAAAAAGTCATGTGTTGACGGTGGAAGTACAGCGAATGAGTTTTAAAATTATTAATTAATCATTAATAAGAGTATTAATTTATTAATTAATTAAATTACGGACATAAATCAACATTTCAAATTAAAGGAATATACAAATGAAAAGAAAAATTTAAGAAGTCCTCTTTTTCAGCATGAGATCCAACGTGGCAAAATTAATTTTTAGAATAATACTAAAATCAAATGCAATGCTAATGCTTAAATTGTATTAAATGAAGAATACTATGCAAATACACATAGAAATTCCATTCCAAATCAGAAATAAAATCAGAGGTTCAGAAGCCAACATCAATGCAATTGTTTGTTAAATGCTCAATACAACTTCAACTTCCAATACCCACAAAACCAAATCTGATAAGATGGATCCAGGCAAACAATCTCATACACCTAATTTACACCACCTCTAACAATACCAATCATTTCTTGTTTTTTCTACCTACTTGGCCTCCGGCATTATTGCCTCCTGCAGCCGCCTGAGCAGCCTTCCTCGCGGCTTTCTCTTGTAAAGCTTTTGCATCCCTGTCCATTCGAAGAAAACACAAATCAAGAACAGAACTAAACGAAATTTAAGCAATATAAGGAGATCGTAACGAACCTTTCACGGCGTTGTTCAGGAGTCAATCCGTCGTCTTTAGGGTTCTTGGACTTATGTCCAGCCCTAGCTTGAGCTCTTTCCCGATCTCGCTCTCTCTGGTTTCCGCGTTCGCTTCAGTTAAAGTCAAACAAAGAAATCGTAAACCAAGAGTAAAAGTTCAAAAACAACAAATTCCCTATACTCCGTCTGGTTGCTTCAGATTAAAAAAAGAACTTCAATCACAACCAAATAAGTAATAAAAGAAACTTGTACAAAAACCAAACAAAACACAGAGATAAAGAGGAGGAACAAAACTGATCAGCAAAGGATATGACTCATTAAGGATCGATTATGCAGCAAGCAGATTTCCTGGAAAATTGAAGCAATTGACAAGAAGGAAAAGAAAATACTACGGAATCAGTTCTTTCTATAAAAATCAAAATAACCAATCGAACAAATGAAAAGGAAAGGTATTGATTGGCTATTACCAGCGACAGAGGAAGCAGTGACGATGCTTTGAATTGGAGATGGAAGATTGGCGCTTTGTGAGGACAAAGAAGAAGAGGAGGAGAATTAAAAAAGACCGTCTTTCGAAAGCAGTTGATCTATGGAAGACTCGAGAAGCCGCGGAGATTCTTCCAATACGGGCGTGCCAAATCGATAATTGCAAAGAAGCCCATAAACTTCCCTATAATATATATATCAACGGTTAATATTTGAAAATTAACAATTTTAACTCGTACATATTAAACAAAGTTTTATTTATGATTTTATATTTTTAATTCAACAATTAATTATATCTTAACCGAATTTTATAAAAACTGACAGGATTAATATATAAATTCAAAACTTAAAATAAATTAATAAAATAAAAAATAAGGTAAAAATTAATAATTTCAAGTTAATTTTAAGCATTCAAACAATTTTACAGAAATCGAAATAAATATTTTTTTTTCCAAATAAGCTTTTTGTAATTATTTAATATTTATTAATCCTATCCAAATTCAATTTAAATTTGAACTCAAGCTATTTTAATATAGAGCGGGTATTTAATGGATGGATATTAACTTTTACTGAGGGGTCGAATACGGAACCCGAATTTAACTCACTCCACGAAACTAACGCAAATATGAAATTTAATAACAATTAAATTCTTCATGAATTTTTGATTTGTGAATAAAACACTTAATTCTTCCAAATATGATGTCAAATTTAATTATAATATATAATTTTAAAAATTTTTAACTATAATTTTAAATGTAATTAAAATATAAAATTTTACTAATTTAAAATAGTAAATATCAACATATAAAGTTAAATAATGAATAACATAATAAAAGCTTTTCATCTAACAACAGTAAATTTTATTCCTTGAATTCTTACTTCCAGGCTTATTTCTTCCGGCTGAAGCTTTGACGATCATGTCTGTACCGCTTACCACAGTACCCATAATGATTGTTTTGTTTGGCATTCGACTCCGAATGGGAGATATAAGGTTCGGTATGGTTACCATTTGATAGTACAACATCATCTACCGCAAGCTAACTACCCGTTAGGCCCAGTTCGACGAAGATTATGGTTGTTAAAATTGCAACGAAGATAGCTTTATTTATGTGGCGTGCTTGTCGCAACTTGCTACCAATGAATAATCGCTTGATAGAGAAAGGGGTGTCTATTGATCCCAAGTGTCCCTTCTGCAATGAGATTAAGACGCTCTGCCATGCTATTTTCTCCTGTCAAAATGCTCGCCTTTGTTGGCTGATGACTCCCAGTTCCATATTCCGCACGATAACAATTCTATTTATGCTATTTTTGAGTCGCTGCTTCATATGGAGGATACTGCATTACAGGTATTTTCTACTTTGGCTTGGAATGTGTGGAATGGCAAGAATGCTTATGTTTGGCAATCTACCCACCGATCTCCATACTCGATAGTTACTTTTACTAAGCAGTATTTACGAGAATGGGAATTAGCATCTTCTGTGTCTACTCTCTATCCTCCTCCGAGTTCGCTTTCTCAACCTGCTGTTGCTATTGATGTTATATGGACTCCTCATGCTATTGGGTAATTAAAGGCAATGTGGATGCTGCTGTTTTTCAGGTACAGAACTATTATTCTTATGCTGCTATTTTCCGTGACAGTAATGGACTTTTCATCTCAACTATGTCAAGCCATTCTCCTGACAGCGTCATTCTTGCTATGGCGAAGCCTTGGGTTGGGTCTACGCAATGTTCTTGCCTGGTTTTTCTTGCAAGAGTGGGGACCGGTGATTTTGGAGGTTGATTCGTTGCAGGTGGCTTCTGTCGTGAATGGCACATATGATAGTGTTTCCGACTGGGGTAGGGTGATTGTAGACATCAAATGTTACTTGCATCAATTGAGAAATATTGCTATTTTTTGGGTTCAAAGGTAAGTAAACATGTGTTCCCATGCCCTTGCTAGGGAGGCATGTAACCATGCTACCTTTCACGATTGGGAAATTATTCCTTTATGTATCGAGGAAATTGTAAACTCTGAGCTTGGTTCTAATTAATACAAATTTCCTTTTCATGTCAAAAAAAAAATATATATATATATTCCTAAAAAGATAAAACAAAAAATAAATAAAAAGCTTGTGTTTTCTTCGCTGGATACGGCCCTCAGATTTCTAGAAGTCAACATTGTGGACTGGACTCTTTGCTGGGCTAAGCAGGCCCATCATTTCTATTAGATGTCCACCAAAATATATATAACTGGAGATTTGGGCCGCAGGAGGGTTATCAAACACCAAAGCAAACCTGAAAAGCAGCTTCTTAGGCTGTATTTGGTAAGTGGGAATCAAACATAACATAATATAATTAAAAATATTTTTAATGTAATTTTTTATACTAAAGATGTCTTTAATTCCATTACCACTCACTAAATGTAGCATGATACTTCCACTTTTTCATATGTCCACATTAACGCAATATTTTTTTGATACATAGGAGGTCTGGTAGACTGGAATAATATTATGGGCTACATAGCAGAGCTAACACTCCTCGTTTAATAACATTCATTAAATTGAATAACTTTTATAATGGAAAAAACTCGAACTCGAAACCTCTCACTCCTATATCTTCTACAAAATATGGTTAAAATAATCTACTATATTAATATAATTAACATTGAACTGGTTTAACTATTTGTGATAGATTGTAACCACTGATGATACCTAGAGTGAGCATTCGGTTAACCAAACCGAATTAGCTCGGTTTCGATCTATTCAAATATATTTTTATGCTAACCAAATAGTATAGTAACTGATACAAAATAAATTAAATTGGTTTGGTTCAATTTAGATTGGTTATTTCAAACTAAATTATTTATTTTGCACTTAAAAATAAATTTGATTAGTCATATATGGTAAATGAATTTCTAAAAGTAATTATCCAAATCCGATTAAAATAAGTCCTCTTAATTTGGTTCTTGGTTAAAAATTGAGAATTGCTCATCCCTAATTATAGGGGTTAACCCAAAGATACTAATTGTTTAGTAAATTTTAGTATTGATTGTTATTGAAATATTAAATAACTATCAAAAGTGTAATTATTTTTGTAAATTATCAGATATAATATTTTTTTTTGTTATGAATGTGAATATATTATATAAATAAAAATATTAAATAATTTTTATAATAAAATTTAACAATTATTTATTATTTTTAAATAAAATGATACTTTCCATATCAATATATAAATTATTTAAAATTTTTGCAAAGAGATAAAGGAAAACAATTAGTTCTCCTAAATTATAACAAAACCAAGCGTAATACGATAAAATTATCATTTCTCTCAAAACCAATGGTAAATTGTGAATACAATTATTATATCTAACATAAATAAGAGTAAAATTAAAAAAAAATATTTATACTGTTTAAAATACTCAACACGTCTATATTTCGAACGAAATAATCACTCTAAAACGCTTAATACTTTTATTACTCTTTTTTATCCATCCCAAATATTGTCCTGTTTCTTTTAGAACATTTGTAGTTTGCTACTTTGCCTTTATTTAATTTTTTAAATAAATATAATTGTAACGTCCCATTTTTCTATTGAAAACGTTTAATACTTTTTTATTACTCTTTTTTTATCCATCCCAAAATATTGTCCTGTTCTTTTAGAACATTTGTAGTTTGCTACTTTGCCTTTATTTAATTTTTTTAAAATAAATATTTAATTGTAACGTCCATTTTTCTATTTGAATCGAGTCTTGCTTAGAGTCGAGTCGGGCTGCTCCAAAAAAACCCGGTTGAGCCATTTAGAGTCTAGAGTGGGCTTAGATTGAAATAAGGAGAAGAAGTGGACTTACTTGAAGGACAAACAAAAAATATCAAAAGTATTAAGGATTAGGGACTTGCTTGCACTAAAAATATAAAGGAGGGATTTAAGGTTGTACCATTTTGACACTTGAGGCTACCAATTTGGTTTAATTTTCACATTAAAAACCCATGATATTTTGGGAGAATGTACCCGTGAGTTCCATTCCTTGTCATTTCTCATCCTTATGCTTCATCTTCTTCCTCTACTTTCCTCTTCACTTTCCTTTCTCCATCACTTTTAATGTTAGTGAAGATCGTTAATGGGATTCACAAAACATTAATTCAACTTCTATTCTATTCCAAGTAAGTAAAACCTTCTTGAAATTTCAATACTTGAAATCATTTTGGCTGATATTCTTTAGAGTATTCATAAGAATTCTTATTCATAGATTGAAGTAAGCTCAAAGGAAAAGGAAGCTAAGAAGAGATTCCAGTTGTTAAGTGAAGGTGTGCTATTCTCTTTTCGTTTAATTAAATTTCCTTGCCATTTTGAAGAATTTGTGAGGTTGTGTTGATAATAGAAAATATGTTGTTTTCAATAGTTGAGTAGTGCTGAAATTGGTTGAAAAGCATGAGATGAAATGAATAAATGGAAGTAGGTATTGAGGTCATGCTGAAACAGTTTTGCTGGAAAAAGTTACCCAGTAAACTTCACCTTGATTTTTTAACCCCATTTTATCGATGGAATTAGGAAGTTCATAGAAAGGAGTTATTGTTCCTCTATGGTTAGCTTTACATGGGATTTTTGAATCACCCAAATCGGAGTTATATATTGAGAGATATGGCCAAAAGAGTACAGAGACTACGCAGGACTTGGAAAACAACCGTGTCGCGCGCTCGCGACTTGGCCTGTTAAACTCACTGACTCTCTTGGTGCTTTGCGCGCCTGCGAATTTCATTGCGCGCTCGCGACTTATGTTTTTTTATGCTCTTTTGACTTCATTTTTCAATGCAATTGTATTCCTTTGCCTCAACTTATATGCCTCCAATCCACACCTTTTTTAAAACAAAAAGAACAACATTTAGAACATTGCATCAAAACCAACATTGCAAAAGCATGCAAATATGTGAATGAGTGTAAACCACAACTTGTAATTGTATTCTATGGCCAATTGTGAAATGATGTGAAATGTGTATTGAATTTTATGAATTTCTATGCAATTGTATTCCTATTCTCAACTTGTAGTCTTCAACCACTTTAAAGCCAAAAAAAAGACAACATTGACACATGTATAAAACACAAATGCAAAGCATGCCAAATTAAACGACACAGGTTACTATGCTTTTGTTTTATTCT